ATACTAAACATTAAAAGACTATCGAGAAGAATCGTTTTTGGCAATTTGCCACCAATTTAGACGTTGCTCGGTAGGCGCCAAGAGCTTCCAACGCCGCTTGACTGTCCGAGAATATTTTTATTGTATATATACTCGAAAGTACTATTCTTCGGAGAGAAATAGTTTTCTGTCTTCACTAATCCTACGTAGCTTGGAAAATTTCCACTCAGAAATGTTATCAATATAACTGGATCTGGATAATGAATGTATTATCAAATATAACTTGGTGGTACATTGTAGAAAACTGGTATCATTCTACGAGGACGTTTCCGTTGTGGATTCATCACCACCGGAAACTGTTCCTTCATGTGTGGTCATGAAAAAAAATCTATGTCATATCCAATCATTCAGTATATCATACGGGTTAGGTATATTTATCGGGCCAACTGGCCGAGCCCATTGCCATCAGTTATCAAAATGATAAACAATGTGAAACTTTTAGCGAACTTAAACCATTACATGGACATGGAACTCAAAAAAACAAATGAATTTGTTTTCATACACCCAAACTAAATTCCATTTCCAAACTCTCAACAAATACAGTCTCTATATATGCTTTCATATTTCACCTTATAGTGAACCATTATATAAGTTTAACAAAACCAATCTGTTTTCGTTCATCATTCTAAAGCCATTTTCATAATTAGTCATTGTTTATTTTCACAGGTCAGTACGTTACCATTCAAGATGACGTTATCAGCCACGTGAACATATCCAACATAAAGGCCGAAGACGGTGGAGAATACACGTGTACAGCGCACAACAGCGTGGGCAAAATTTCGCATAGCGCCAGAGTGAACGTTTACGGTCTTCCCTATATTCGAGAAATGTCTAAAATTACTGGGGTAGCTGGATCTAGTCTTATTATCAAGGTAAAAAAATACTCGTAGTTCATAGATATTTTTTCACCATCCCACACACGCTGGTATCAATTTTTTGTGAACTAACAGATTGTATTATATTTTTCTGGTCATAGTTGAAGCCAGTTTTCTGGATTGGATAACGAAAATTATTTTTTGGGAAAGAAAGTTTTTGGCTTTCTACTACTCCATCTGATACAANATCTTCCTTCTCTACTCAAAAATGTTACCGCTTTCGAGTTTATCGCCAACAATTAGGAAAAAATCAATTATAATCATGTGGTTAGCGAAATTCGATAAAATACACTCAAAACATGCAAAATTGCAATATACTCTAAACGTATTTCATGTTGAGGTATCGATAATAAGAAAGTAAGCAAAAACCATAGCAATATTCTTTTTAGATGTTTTTTTTTAATTAAATAATATTAGTGGCAACGGTAGTTCGAAACGCCTTGTCAACTTGTTTTGTATGTTACATTAATTGTCAGTATTTCAATTCAAGTTCAAAGTTCATTAACTTCAAGTCTGACAAATGGTTAGATTAACGGAAATGCATGAAATAACAGTGTTACAAATGATTAGTTACGGAGATAAAACCCGAACAGGAAGTAGCTCACCTATTTTGGCGATGTGGGGCAGATAAAAAAAGCAGCAGCCAATGCAATGAGTGTTGAACTCAAATTAGATGTGGTGCTTGAGTGTAGGGAAAACCCACATACATCGAGTAGACAGGCATTCACAACATTCAACATTAGCCATACATCGATACTAAACATTAAAAGAAGATAAAATGCATACCTATGGAATGATACCTACTCAGGAGCGCATGGAAGACGATTCTGATAGAGAACTTATTTTTGTGAGCAAATGATGGGCATATTGGATGAAAATATCATAATTAGAAGACGTTGTTTTCTGATGAGTGTACTTTGTCTCTTAACGGTCATGCAAATCGGAAAAACTGCCGCTACTGATCAACGAAAAATCCTCACTGGATGAGAGAAGAACAAACGTAATAACCTCAAAAGGTTAATGTTTGGACAGGAATTCTAAGAAACCCTTGGTCCCTTTTTCATTGAGGTCAACTTGAATGGCGATAATTATTTGACACTACTTCAAAATAATGTCATTCCAAATTTACCAAGTTTATATACTGATCCAGAAAACCCTCAAACTCCAGTGAATACGATATGGTTTCAGCAAGATGGAGCACCACTACATTACCAAGTTCATGCCCGGCAATACCTCGATACAACATTTCCCAATCGGTGGATAGGGAGGCGAAGATCGATTAAATAGCCAGCTCCATCACCTGATCTTTCATCATTAGATTTCTCTTTATGGGGATATGTAAAGAGCAATGTGTACAGAACTAAACCTTCAGATTTGAATGACTTGAAAAATCGAATAACGCTTGCGATTAAGTCGGTCACGCCTGATATATTGAATAATGTTTAAATACAGTTTTATTCGAGATTAGGATGTTATCAGGAGGTACGCGATGAAATTTTGAACATCTACTTCGTTAATATCCATAGTTCTTTTTCGTATTCTACATTTCATTACGTTTTGCATTACATTTTAGTTTTTGAGTGTATTTTATCGAATTTTGGCAACCACATGCTTCAAATTTATTTTTTCTCAATTGTTGCAACAAACTTTAAAACGAATACATTTTGAATGGGAAATGAATAGACCTTCCAAACGATATATCACAAACCTATATGTCACATTCAAAAAATTGGGGGTTGTACCTGTCATTCGAAGGGGGTTGAAGGTGAGGGTGGAATTTTTCCGTTGAAGTATGTCATATTACAATTTAAATTTGACGTGTTTCGGGATTTTGTTAAACTATGTACCATAACCGAAAAATAGTTTATTCCAATTGACTTTTACACACTGTATGTTAATTGAGATATGGAGCCACAAAAACACATGATTTAAAAACGAACAAAACTTTTGAAACCACCTAATTTTAACACAATAATTTCATTTCATCACAAAAAACCGCAAACTACATCATGGCCCCCAGTTAATAACAATAATGAATCAATTTAACTACTAAATTATCATAAGATTTTCAACACATATATATTTAGTAAAACTTTCATGGTTTCATGTTCCACTCCTTTTTTCATAAATAGACTGTTTCTATGGCATGATTGCCTCCGCCTAATAATGAGCATTGTCTTGTTTGAAAATATAATTGCACTTTCAATAGTAATAAATATTTTGTGACTTTGGGTATCCAACTCATTAATATTTTTGGTAATTCGTATTCTGGCGAAGTCGGCAAAGTTATCCCTCTCATAAAACCAATATTTTGGTGAAGTTTCTAAGTATTTGAGTTTTGCCGGAGTTGCTTCATAAAAATTTGCAATTTCAATTGAAACAAGTATGGATGAATAAAATAACCCCTTTTGATGAAGGTGTGAACAGAATATTTTCCCCAAAGATTACAAGAAGGTGACAGGAATAGTAGAAATACAAACAAAGTACCGTAAAATATTTTCCAGAGATAATAATTTTGAGAAGTGATAATACCGGTAGGACTTCCAACAGGGTATCAGAAAACATAGCATGAAGTTTGGTGACGTCATAAATGTGAATACATATGTGTCCTTTTGGATACAATCAATGTTTGAAGGGCTTCAAAATCTGTAGTGGCTATGCGGTGCAAAATTGCTGTAGGTTGTAATTCACATCAGGTTGTCAACACTTATATATTTTTTCTGGTGTTGTAGTGAAGTTCAGGACGGTATTGTTTTAATGTTTGCTTATTTTTTAATCATTGAATATTTAACAAAATTCATACAATTCAAAACCTGCAACTCAAGACTAATAAATGAATCCAGCAACACTGTTATGTTTACGCCAAAATCAATGTTTGAAATACTGTATTCGTTGCGAATATTTTATCCAATAATGGCAGTATATCCCGCTTTTCATAAATCCATACCCTCATCACAGTTGTGGAAACTGAGATTTTATACAACTTTGGAGAAATGGTGAGTCTTTTAATGTACTGATTTAACTGATAAGGTAGATAAGCTCTCGTTTGCATATCCTCAACAAAAGATAATGAACTCCAGAATAAATCCAAGCCATCAATTGAAAAAATTATACAGTTGATATGATATGCAAGAAAGATATGAGATTAACCTATACCGGGTGATTCTACAGTGGCTCACCCCTATAACTTTTTATTATTGGAGATAGAAAAATGAAATTTGGGGTTTGTGTATTATAGTTTCACTTACATTTTTGCCACATTTACTTGCTTTGCCGTACTTCCGGCTTGACCGGAAATACCCCAACTTTCGATCTTTTAATGGAACATCCTATATATTTTTACTTATTTCGATAGAGAATGACATTCTGAATTCAACAATACTTCACTTGTCAATATTTGACAAATAAAATCATTTTCATTCCAATTTTCATTTTTTTATCTAGAATGCCTTGGATCATGTAAATCACTTCATTCTTGATCAAATAACATGGGAAAACTATGATTTTGAGGCTTATGACTTCACAGTCGTTTTAAGAAATATTTCACGGTCGGAAATATGAACTTGTCCAGTTAACTTAATTTTTTCAAATGGAATGGGGGTGGCTCATCGGTATTTTGTGAAAGATCATTTTCTTACAAATAATACGATGCCGCACACTTTCACTTCATTTGCTATATTTTCCTGAATAATTGCAAGAAAGTCGCAAATTAGTGCATTAAAGTTATAAATTTTCAAAATGGCCTCCTCCTTGATCACGGCAAAATTTAACTTTTTCAATTGTTGCCCGCATCACATTGATTAGTTGTTCCTCATTGATATTCTGGAATACTACCCTTACTTTATGCTCTTCAAGAGTAGCTGATGTTGTATTGTAAACCTGCTTTTTAATTATTCCTCAGAGAAAAAACTCTAGCGGAATGAGATCTGGTGATCTAGAATATGAAAAAGCAATAATACATTTATGTAAAAATATCACACTGAATAGGTACATAAGTGCCAATCCACTTTTCGCTCTTGAAAATTTCCTTTTTGCATCAGATGTATATTTGTTCGAGACCAGTACCTTTTATTATTCCTATTGAACATACCCATGTTGGTGAATCGGGTTTCATCTGAATAAATAATTGTAAATGGTAAACGTATAGCTTTTCTGTATTTAGTCAAAAACCAGTTGCAATAAGTCAATCTTCGGTTGTGATCATTATCGTGAAGATATTGGTGTAGTTGGTACTTGAATGATCGATAATTATATTTGTGAAGAATTATCCAAACAGACGAATAACTTATATCACACTCAGAAACAATTTGGCGAATTGACACCGTACAATTCACTTCAACATAGGCCAGCACGTCTACTTCTTTTTCTACACTGACGATTTTGAATCAAATGGCTAACGTGTTTTGTAAAGCGCAGTTCAGAATCGAGCTAAAGGCCTAGGTTCTTTGCTTCAGTTACAAAAGGCAGAACGTCACCATTTATATGAATATAAAGACTATTTTAAGAAATATCTCGCAATCTTTTTGGTCCAAAGATCATTACTGCTGACTTTTTGGAGTTCATTTTCAGTTTATGACAAATCATCTAAGAGAACAATTCGTTCAGGCCAGTCTCAACACCCTACACAGTAGGTTAATGGACTGACAGCTACTACTCCCCTGGCTAATACCACGAAGGGCGTTGGATTATATCTGACAGGTGTCAGTGCAGGATTCTTCACAGAAGTTATATTGCGGCAGTTGTATCGCCAACAGCATATGCAGGAATAACTTCTGTGAAGAATCCTGCACTGACACCTGTCGGATATAATCCAACGCCCTTCGTGGTATTAGCCAGGGGAGTAGTTGTTTTCTGATAGGTGTCAGTCCATTACCCTACTGTGTAGGGTGTTGAGACTGGCCTGAACGAATTGTTCTCCTAGATGATTTGATTTATAGCCAGTCTTCAAGTATGCCCACTGTATGTACACTCAAGTACAGTTGAGTATCATCTACGTA